AATTTATTGGAATAAAAACCCTAATTTAAAAGTCATATATTCATAAATAAAGGAAGCAACAAAATAAATCCCAAAAATTTAATCATGTCTAATAACAAATAATTGGATTCTAAATCATATAATTAAGGCTCTGACACCAAATATAAGAAATCACAAAATAGGATTACATGAAATTAGAACACCAAAAAGTCTAGACTTACCTATTGAAGACATGATTTTTGATTTTTATCTTGCTTCTTCCTTGCTGATATTCCTATAAGATTTAAAAGACCATGATATTCCACTACAGTTCACATCACTCCCTAATCACAATTGTCGATGGGGCGAGTTGTGGAGTGACTGTTTTTTTAACTTATTGTGAATGTAGAGGGGATTTAGTCAAACTTATTAACCCTTTCCCATCATGGATATATGGGTTACGCCTATGCTGTTATCCACGTTAATCAGTGTTACAGATATCTAAGTTCAAACCAAAGGATCACTAAATTAAATGAACTTTATACTGCACTCCCTTATGAATCATGACTTAGCCCACTTTTTTAAAAATAAGAAAATAAATACAATTGATTATGTAACTCATAATAATTAGAAAAAATCTAATATTTCAAATTTAAATAATTAAAAGGCATGTTTGATGTGACGTATAAGGCCTGATAGTATAAGCTTATACTATACATTATGATATTATCAGTTGTTTGGTATGACTTTCGTATTGTATAAGCTTATGTATCATAACCCCTTAATATATCAAAATGATGTATAACTTAATCAGGCCTACAGGGATGGGATTAGACCTGATAAAGTTTTGATGTATTAGTTCCATATTTCTCTTCCCTTTCTACCCTTCTCTTACCCATTCACGTTCGACCCTCACTTATCTTCTCCTTCCGCCACCATCAGCCTTTTGCTATCACCGGAGCAGCATTGCCACCGTCGTCGCCGTTAACGTTGTCATCCTTTTCTTTTCTGCACTTTTAATTCAAAAAATAATAATTCCACCACCCCTTTCACTCCTCACAAACCCATTTCGTTTCAACCCCACAGACCCTTTTTCCTGATTCACCTCTCGATGACCTCTTCTTCTTCCTCCACATGTCTCTTACCGTGCTTTAATTTCTGGGTTTTCCAAGTCCCATCGAGAACAAGAAGCATTGTACCTCTTCTTTTAGATGAAAAGTTCCTCTATTGACCCCCAATGAATACATCTTTATTGCTGTTTTAACTGTGTGCATTCGAATTTTGCATCTTCAATTGGGTCTTCAGATACATGGAGCAGTAATCAAAAGCGAGCATTTGGACTCTGTTTTTGTTGCAAAAACGTTTATGTGTTTGTATGCGAAGTGTGAGTATTACCAAGTTGTGCTTAAACTGTTTGATGAAATGCACCAGAGAGATATTCCTTTTTATGCTAGCTAGGTTTGAATCTGTTCTCACTACATTAGAAGATGTTGTTAATAATAACCCCAGAGCAGCAGAGTTTCTTGGCATATTTTTGCAAAAGCCATAACAAAGTGTAGTCACATTGAAAGAGATTGGGAAGTTAATACATGATGGTGGAGAGGAACCTAGGAGTTTCTTAAAAGCTGGACTTGCAAGTGATGTTCTTGGAAGCATTTTGGAGGTAATAAAATCTGAGAAGGGTGATGTGGTTCTAAATGAGATTCAGAAATTTTATGTAGAATTTTTTTCTCTGTGAGATGGGTTGGGTAGAATTTTATATATGAAATTTCTTTGTCTTGGTATTATTTCTTTGACATCTTCACTGCAATTGTAGAAGGTTCAATTGAGCATAAGAATTTTAGGCTGAATTATTATGTCTGCTTGATGATGGCCTTTGCTTAATTTCTTTATAGATGTTAAAAGTTTCAATGAGCATCGAGAATGTTTTCATCTTGTTCTTTATTTACTGCACTTATGATCGAGATCCATTTTGTGCGATCAATTTTGTCAACTTACTCCATATTTTTTAAGTTGTCCTATAGTAATGTATGCATTTTTGGCGTATCCAAAAGTAGGAAGTTGTTCCATATAAACATTTACAAGAATTATATAAAATTTTTATTAAAGGGTATTTTTGTTAAAAATATTTATTTTAATCCTATCTAGTATTATACAGTGTATTACCAAATACTAGATAATATTATCTTATACAATACATTATCTTATCTAATGTCATGCCAAACACTTGATAGTATTAAAATGTAATCAGGTCTTATACAATCAAACCTTATACTATCAGGTCTTATACAATCAAACCTTATACTATCAGGTCTTTTACTATCAAGCCTTATCCTATCATGTGCACCAAACATGCCCAAAGATCAAGATATACATATAATTTAAATTTGAGAGTAAATTACAGGTGACATACGTTGTTAAGGAACAAAATATCGTTCTATTTTCTTTTTTGACTATCACTTTACTCTTATCAAAACATGTTTAAGTACCAATTGTTCATAATTTAGTTAATCATAAAAACAATTACCAAACATATTACCAGTATTATTGTTAAGATTTAGTGCGTTAAAAATATACTTATAACCAAAAAGAATAAGGATTCAAATAATTTTTTTTTTTTTTTGGTAATCTGGATTCAAATAATTAATTGTGGTAGATTATGATAGATAATCATTAATCAATTGTGGTAGTTGTCTATAAATTAATGATGTTAGTGACCAAATGCATACAACTTGGAGATACTAGATTTACGCAAGTATTTCTTCAAGACATGTCGTAAGCTAAAAGCGGAGCTCATAACCCCCAAGGGTAGCTCAGTTGGCAGCTGAACTCCCAAGGGATTGCTTGGTACAGGGATCAAACCCTGCCTCAAGTAGTTTCTTGAAAAATCTTTGGGAGCCAGAGGATAAGCCAAAAATCTTCGGTTGGGGGATTAGTCTCGTCCTTTCTCCCGTTGCGAAGCTTAGTGCACTCACTGTTACAATGAGGGGCTAGCCCAAACGGGCCGTACCCCGAGAGCATGGTGCCCGGAGAAGGTTGAATGGAGATAGGAGCTCATAATAATATGGGAAAAATATATATAAATGACTTCCTAATATAAAAGATCATTAATAAGAGCCGAACATAAGCTTTGTTTGCATTAGTGTGGTGGTACATAAAAGAATCAACATAAGTGAGCCCATGTTAGTTATGGGCTACATTTGATAGTTTACCCTAACAAAGCTACAAAAATAATACGGGCCCAAAAATGCAACCGATTTGTTATTTTATATAATTATATACATTTTAAATAATAAATATATAAAAGGAAAGGTAATTTCTTATTTTTCTTCTTAATTTATATAACAAGCCTAATTCCTAACGCATGGAAATGGAATATGAGCTAAAACATAAATACAGTGATCTAAGTAGAATTCATATAAGAATCAAGCAATATCTAAATTAGTATTGTTTCGTTTACCAGGCATAGTAGAAAGGGAGAAAATATTTTAGGATTGAACCTTTTCAAGGTAAGATTATGCATTTCACTGGGTTATATGTAGATTTGTGAAAAAATAAGCTTAAAAAGATAAATATGTTAAAGGGAAAAATATATATAATTTTAAAAGATATAACATATAAACTTATATCCTATCACTTCTTGTAACTATATATTCTGAGAAATACATAATTATAATATAAAAATTAAAAATTTTTTATTCATAAACTTGTCTAATAAAATAAAGAGAGAAAAAATAACTTTCATATTATAATTATGAACTTTGCAAAATACATAATTATAAAGTAGATAAATTTATATATTTTAAAGGGTGATACACAGCACCACTAAGATTAACCTAGTGGTGTTAGATGTGTGTAATATGTATTAGGTTGCAAGTTCAATTACTGTAATATTAAAAAAAAAAAAAAAAGGGTGATACACTAGATCGTATGTTAAAACTTAAACATGACGCTGGTTAACTATGGTTCACTAAAAGGGAAGGATGATGATCAAATTCATTTTTTATGTTTTTTTTTTAATCTTCACGATTCCCGTGCAAATAGATGTGGTCCCAGTGTTAAAATGGATTTAGAGATAAAAGATTAAAATGAATCTGGACTACAGTGTAGGCCAGATACATCTGTCATTCATTTTTGTTTCTTCTTTTTTTTGTTTCTTCTTCACATTCATTCTACAAAACATACTATAATTCAATAATATCTGAGTGACTCCAAAAACAAGGACATAACTCATAAGTATATTGTGATACATTTAGTGAGTAGTCACTATAACAACTTGAGTTGATTTCTTTTATCAAAAGAAAATGAGATAGTTCTGACGCCACTGAGACATCTGAGTTTTTTTTTTTTTAAAATAACTTAGATATCTGAGTTTTTTTTTTTAAAAAATAACTGAGATATCTGAGTTAGTTATGGAACTACAGTATAATTTAAATTAATAATTGTCATTTATTTGAAAGGAGAGATTACAGTTATTATTTTTTTTTTACTACTTGTTACTATTAAATTTTAATTGTTCATTTTCGTCAATCTAACGATTATAATTTATTAGAATTAATAATATATTAATAAATATGATCCAATAAATTATAACCATTAGATTAACGGAAATCAACGATTAAAATTTAGTAATAACAAATAATAAAAAAAAATATAGTAAGTATAACCTTTCTGTTATTTGAAATATAAAAACATAAAAACTATTGACTAAGAATGTTTTATCTCCTAACGTCATGGGGACGAATTTTTTTTTAATACATATGATATATTCAGTTGGTAACATTTTTTTATCAAATGGAGATTTTTTTTTTTTTTTTTCATTTTTATCCTTGTTATTTTTTTATCCCAAAAACTTACCACTTTTTGCAGTTCACGTAAGATTCTCTCCATGGGGACCCACAGTATAATCTTATACCTGTCAAATGATAACGTGGCAGAATCTAAGTGGCATTGTAGAAGCAAAGGTTAAGTTGCTCAAGAGAAAAAGAAGAAGAAGAAAGAAAAATAGAAAAAAAGAGAAAGTTTTGGCCTTTGATGCCAAAACTAGTGACACACCACAACACAAACACAACACTTTTGGACGTGTTACTTTCACATTTTTGCTTTGTTGCAAAACCAAACCCCACCATGTAGGAGACTGAGACTCGCTTTCGTTTTTCCCCATTTTTGATGAGTTTTCACGAGGTGGGCAACGTGGCAATCCTCTGATTCTGAAGCTTGGGTTTTTTTTTTTTTTTTTTTTTTTTTTGCGAAGCTTTGTGAATTGTTTTTGGCCATGGAAGAGGACAAGTACGCAAGGGAATTGGAGGTGGCCGTTAGGGTGGTCCACATGGCATGTGCTTTGTGTGGGAGGGTGCAGGAGAGGCTCCTAGGAACCAGCAATGATCACGTTGTGTCCAAGGATGATGATTCTCCTGTTACTGTTGCAGGTATTTGCATTGAATTTTTTTAATTTGAATCTCCCTGTGTACCTGTTATGTGTTTTCTTGAATGTGTTCATTTGGGGTTGTTGTGAATTGCATAATTGATATTGGGTTTGATTTTTGTGTTATTTGGGGTGTGGGAAAGTCTGCATTTGAATCATTATACATGAAATAGTTGCTAGGTACATTGGTGTTTTGGTTATTGGTTGCTGGAATCAAATGGGGTTGTCAAAATCTTCGTTTTGCTACTATGGTAAAGTGTGGGATGACTCAGTTTGGATCAAATTCAGTGAACTATTCTTAGTGAAACTGGAATCTTCAATAAGTAATGCAGCTTGAAGATTCATTTGGGACTGGAAAAACTTTCTTTTCGCTTTGTCAATTACTGTCACTGAAGTGTAATATGATGGAATGGTTTCGAAATGAATCCAGTGAAGTATCCTAATTGTAGATTTATCTTGTACAATTATTTTTCGGCCATAATTTGATATATTCAGTTGATCTTTGCATTATGACAGAATTTCTCCATCTATCCTTGTCCTTTGTCAATGGTGTCATCATAATGTGTCTTGTAGAATATGATTTTGGCATTTATCGTGCACCTGCTTATATGTCAAATGGGATATTCTATAAAACTAAGTAGATGGTCATGGCCATGGTAAAGAACCATAAAATATAGAATAAATTAGGGCAAAGTACATTGTTCATTGGAATTGGTATTCATTCCTTTAACTTAAAGTTCTTGTTAACCTTTCCATTAAACTTCACCTATGTCAAATCCAACTATTTCAAAAGCATAAACTATTAAGTGAAAGCTCATGAATTTTTTTATATCTAACACAACCCCTAACATGAGAGTCCTTTGGGCCTTAAGAATGGTAATGCATAGATCCATTTGTGCTCAATTTCAACTTTTATTTAAAAATATGGGGACGGCAAGATCGAACTCTTGACCATTTCATCATAGAGGCTCTGATAATATGTCAAGAACCAATTATGTTAAAAGTTTAATTTGTTAGGTGAATGCTCATGAATGGTCTAAATCTAATAAGCTGTTTCAGTAGATGAATTTTATGCAGGGACATCATTTGTTTGATATATAAATCTAGTGTGCGGTCACACATGCACACATGTTATACATCTAGGTTGGAGGTTGAAATTATGTTAATGTTGTTATACATATCTAATATAATTTTACACCTAGTCTGAATGATTCAGTTCATGCAGAATTAGATTTCCCTCATAATCACAAATGGTCAGAAATGCACATGCTGTTCGAATATTGACATAGGCATTCAGGTCTTGTAGAAAAGTTGCTGGGGTGATTACCCACTTACCCCATTGCATGGTCCACTCTTAAATTTTAATGGAGAAGAAAGAAATATTTTAGTAGGCCCATAATCATCCAGCTGGACTGGAATATTCAATATTCTTTTTTTATCCCAAATGAAGACAGAATTATTACAGTAAAATTAATCCTAGTATCTCCATATTGAAACAAACCCCTGAATCTTATGATGCAATTTTAATTGGTGGAATTGTGCAATCAGTAGTTGGCTGTATCTAGATGGTTATGATTAAATCTAAATTTCAGAGAAACATTTTCTGTTTGAAAGAAATTCAACCCAGCATTCCAAAAATTGTCACAGATAGTTGTACTGGTGCAATCAAATGTCCTAATTGCACTGTAGGCCTAGCCAATTATAAAATGTCAGGAGATTCATTTTACTGTTAGAATAATGTGTGAATCTTTTGCAAAGGAAAACCCATTAAGATGGATGTGGTTCACAATTTACTCTTTGGAGATGTTGCAAACTTGCTGTAACTTTTCCTATTTTTCATGATGTGACGTTCTTTATTCTGGCAGCACATGTCTCTTTTTCGTGCTCGGTTTCTTGTTGGTGGAAATCATATTTACATTGTGGCTAAACTTTCAATGATTTGTTTCTTTTTTAAAATCAATATAAAGTTAGTTTGATCAACATTTAGAGTTTGATATTTTACTTTGATTAAGCATATGGCTTGACTTGAACCAACTATCACAAAAGCTTAAACTATTAAGTAAAGCCAAATTAGTGGTATTATGTCTAACATGCCCTCTCATGCAAAGGCCATTTGGGTTTGAAGGGTAAACAATGCATAAGCCCACCTTATGCTGAAATTTAACTTCAATTTGTAACAATGGGGCCAACAAGGATTTCACTATAAACCATATCGAGTTTTTGATATCATATATGAACGTACTATCCCAAAAGTTTAAGCTATTAGGTGAAGGCAAATGAATGGTTTTGTATCTAACATGCTTATTGTGTGGGACTTCATTTCATAACGGTGGAGACTTTTTTATTTTTGTTATCTGGTGACAGTCCAAAGATCTAAAGCTCCAACTAACTACCCATTTTTGCTTCTACAAAGTAGAGCCAACACCACTTTTCTCCTTTTCTTTCCCTTGTACACAGTATTAGTTTTCACAATGTTGCACTCAGATCACACTAGCTTGTTTATATTCCTATAGCAGTGAAAATAATCAGTCTGACCTTGCAAATGTGGATATTTTACATTACTATTTGTAGTATGCTTCTCCTTAGTTGCATTTATATGTGCATTGCTTAAAATTTTTGTTTTTGGTGCGAATGTTCCTCAAAGTTAATTCACTGAATATTTGATTTCATATCTCTGCATGAGAAGACTTTAGTGTTCAAGCAACTATAAGTTGGTTACTATCAGAAACTTTTGGGGTTCAAAATGTGTCAATTGTTGCTGAAGAAGACATACAAACTATCTCCAAGGATGATTCAGCAGGCTTACTGGAAGATGTTGTGAATACAGTTAACGAGTCTTTAGCTTTTGCATCCAAGTATGGTCTTCAAAGTCCAGAGACAACTCTTGGCACATCAGAAGTTCTTGAGGCCATTAGCCGCTGTAACTCAACTGGAGGCCCTAGTGGAAGGTATTGGGTACTTGATCCTGTTGATGGCACATTAGGATTTGTACGTGGGGATCAGTATGCTGTTGCTCTAGCTCTGATTGAGGATGGAAAAGTTGTTCTTGGAGTTCTTGGGTGTCCTAATTACCCAGTGAAAACAGAATGGCTAAATTATCATTATCAAACAATGTCACAATCATCTTTGACAACTCCTGATGCATGTGGAAAAGGATGTGTGTTGTATGCAAGGAGAGGCAGTGGTGAGGCATGGTTACAGCCATTGATTTCTGGGGATAAGATGCTAGTTTGGCCAAATTGTGCTAGACTTATTCGGGTTTCTTCCATTGATGATCCAGCATTGGCTACTCTCTGTGAACCAGTGGAAAGGGCAAACTCGAACCATTCCTTCACAGCTGGACTTGCTCACAGTGTTGGACTAAGGTATAGTATTTATCCTTTTGTCTATCAAATAACATTTGGACCTATTTCACTCATAGAATTGGCTGATAGTACTTCCTTATAAATAGCAATACAGACCTCATTGAATATAAGTGTGGTGTTAAAAGGTTTAGAATTTAAATGCTATGACAGAAACCATTTCTAGACTAACAATAGGGTCACCACAAGTAAAAATTGTTAGTTTTATACATAATATTAGAATTAGTGAAGACGATATAAAAAAAGAGCCAGACATTTTAATTCTTGGTACTTCAATGGGAATTATAAGAAACAGAAAAAATTTCTTGGACAACTTGCATGCCTACTGACCATAGAATTGATTTCTCTTAATAATTTTTTAAAACAAACTTTGGAAAATCATAACTTAATTTGTAAATTGATTATGAGAATAAGATAATATATAGAGATTTAGGTTCAATTAATAATTGCAATTCCTAGAGAGCAATATTCAAGAGAAAGGAATCATGGACCAGACACCTTATTTTGCTTGGAAATTCTTTTAAGAGCAATATTCATTGTTTTAAGTTCCTTGTTTACAATATCTTTCAAAACTCAAGTTAAGTTTATGACACTTTTTTTCCCCTCTCTTTTGAACACCATCATTGGGATTAAACTGCTCTTCTCTTTCAAAAACTGTTACAGAAAACAGCCCTTACGTGTCCACAGCATGGTAAAATATGCAGCAATAGCTCGGGGAGATGCTGAGATATTCATGAAATTTGCAAAGTCTGGTTACAAGGAGAAAATATGGGATCATGCTGCTGGTGTTGTAATTGTTGAAGAAGCTGGTGGTGTTGTAACTGATGCTGGGGCCCACCCTCTAGACTTTTCAAAGGGAATGTACTTAGAAGGTCTTGACAGAGGCATAATTGCATGCTCTGGTGTCACATTGCATGAGAAATTAATTGATGCTGTTTATGCTAGCTGGGACTCCTCAAATTTATGATGCTTCCTTTCTCATGCAATTACATCAATGAGGCAAAATTTTGGTAGAGGCAATTCGGATCATGTCTTTTTTTCCCCTCACGTTTTGGTTCTACAAAGTTGCATGCACTTATGTAGTTAACTTTTCAGTATACTGATAGCAAATTATATTAAACTGAAGATATATTTGTATCTGTGTGTGTGGTGGTCGCAGCAGAATTTGTCCATACAGTGTGATGTGAGAACATGGGATGAAGATTAAGGATATAGAGAGAAAGTAGGGAGAAGAATTATTACCAAGAAAGAATAATTCTATATCTTCTCAAGAAATTATCTTAAAAATCCTATTGATTAAATGAAAAAGTGTTGATTATTATTATTATTATTATCTTCCTCTTCAGATGTGGTTTGGCACAAAGATAATGACACCTTCGATTTAAGTTCACATATGCAATTTCATCAAAACAAAATCTAAAGAGTATATAAATTATAAACAAGGGGCTGTGCATATCTATTTTGCTGCTGCCCCAAAAATTAGGCTGAAAAGCTATATCAAGTTGTTATCTATATTTATCGAGAAAAAAAAAAGGATTTGTTTAAAGTTTATTTTTAAAGTAAATAAGAAGGATGTATATCTGTTTTGTATTTTAATTTAAAGTATATTATGATCATAATCCACTAAAATTTGTTGATAGATACACTCTTCCTCGCTTTAAAAGTATTTTTGTCACCAAGAAAACTCGACACGTGAGTATCTTAATATGGCACTGAAAGGGATATTGTTGTGGTTCAAGGAAATGCTGGCCGAAGTGCTTATATCACTTTTTCTTTATTAAATAGACCATTTGACTTTTTTACTCTTCTTTATGCCATTTCCTTTTCTTTTGTCTTTTTAATTGTCTATCATACCTTATACACTAATCTCTCCATTGCATCACCCTACCTTATAAATACCTCCTTCCATATTTATCAATGCAAACTCATGGCTAAGAAAAAAAGAAGTGGGTGGACAATTAATACACAAAAATAAATCAATCTGTGTCTTTAGTAGAACCACTTTAATAAGAGATGGAAAATTTATGAAGGCAACAAATGAACACAACAAAACATTAGTTCCTCGTAAAATTAATCTTGTATATGGAAAAGTTCAGAGTTTAAGTGGGTACATAGCAGTGATAGCTGTTGAAAATCGACAATCACACAAATCGCAAATGAAAAGAGAAAGAGAGAGAGAGAATAGACACAGAGATTTACCCCGGTTCACCCAATTTATGCTACATTTAGCTTGTCTGTACTATATTCACATCACCATCACTCGTTACAAATCAGTCGGTTTACAAGTAGTGACGGATCCAGGAAATTAATGAAGGGTGGGCACTCAATAAGTTTAAGTACATATAGATTTGGGTCTCGTCTGAAACGTGACTTGCGAGCAGCTGCCGGCTGGCTGGGTCTGGTTGAGATCTAGATCTGAACGGATTGCGACTCAGCTAGACCCATGATGGATGAAGAAACAAATGTTCCAACTTCCAATAATGGAGATTGAGGTTTGAGAGGAGATGAATCAGTTTGTAGATGCAAACGATGGGTCTGGAATAGAGCTCTGCTGTTAGGTTTGGATAATGAAGATGGAAGAGAAAAAAAAACTTACGGGAAACATAAAATAGAAGGAGGGAAATTAAAGGGGTAAGATATCGTAACAACCAACTAGGGTTACTACCAATCAATTTCACCGTTAGATCGATTATGTTGATCCAACAATTATATTTATTTCTATCTTTGTATGGTTATGATCCCCATATTTAATGTAAAAGCATTAAATATGGAAAATCGTAACCATACAAAGGTAAAAATAAATATAAAGTATTAAATATGGAGAATCATAACCATACAAAGATGAAAATAAATATAACCGTTGGATCAACATAATCGATCTAACGGTGAAATTGATTGGTAGTAATATTGATAGTAACCCTAATTGGTTGTTACAATATTCTACCCCAAAATTAAATTGGAAAAACTTGAATTTTAAGAGAAGGGTATTTTTATATTTTTGCATCATATTTTAAAGGTGGGAACTTGCCCCCCTTCTTCTTAACCTAGATCCGCCTCTGTTCACAAGGAGAATATAAATAGCATTAGAAAAATCCTAATAGCAGTTATTCTTGGGCCCAAGCCCAAACTACTAAGAAAAGAAAAAATTACAATAGATCAGAGACTTACAAAAGTACCTAGCCTACAACAGTACAATAGGATTAGAAAAACCCCAGTTGCCTTTCTGCTGACTCCGACAACAAGGGCCTTCATCAACATGCGAAGTATGAGCCATACCCAACAATAACAAGTATTGGATAGAGAATAGTATTGGGTTTCTTGGTTCAAGCAACAAACATACGCTAGGAACTGAGTCAAAAAGTAATGTAGGGGCATAAATATATGGTGTACATGATTTTATAAATCCAATGCTTTCATCGGTTAGCTAGGAGCTTTAGAGGCACTAATTTTTTTTTGAAAAACGAAGGAAAGCAAGAAAAGAAAGCATAGTTAGGTACAGATAAGCCTAGGGTACATGACCCCTCTAAAGTCGTTCCCAAGAAGGGCATGACAGCCCTGGGGGGAGAATAGAACAAATTTACGCGCCAGTTGCCTTCCAACGTGTGAGTAGTAAGCCAGTCGGCTACACCATTGGCCTCTCTATGAACATGAGTGATCCTGACGTTCCAAGGTCTGGAAAGCAAGTTCTGGATTCCTCTAACAAGACTAGCAAAAGGCTGATGCTGGCTCCCCTCCTCCTTGATCACTTGGATGACCGAAGAGGAATCAGACTCCACCCAGACGGATCTATACCCTGACAACCACGCTAGATCAATGCCAATGAGGATTCCCTAAAGCTCAGCCATGAAGGAATTGCAAACACCAAGGTTCCTGAAAAACCCCACAAGCCAGTTACCAGTACAGTCCCGCAAAACTCCTCCACAACTAGCTTTGTTCCCAATAGAACTGTATAACACCCCGTGTATACCCAGTTTGTTAACATGTCATCGTATTGAGCCACGCTTAACTAAAATGCGGAATAACTTTTTCTTTTCAATTATGACGTCATTATCAATTACCAAGTTGATTACTTAATCACTTTCAAAATGTTGCCTGTTTGTAATTGTAAAAAGACAGGTATCCACACTGAATAACCTCATAATATAAATATGTGAGTATCTAAGTCACGGATCTACAACACGTAGTCCAGACATGATCCTGATACATTAATACAACTCAAATCTAAAACAAGACATAGTCAAATCAATGTGGCATGGACAATCTACATGCTCACCAAATAAGGCAACAAAGCCCAACAGAGTCTCAACAACATCATAATAATAACATAAAGCATATCAGCATCCAAGCATAATAATCTAACAGCAAGCATATCACATCAGCTTCGACCTCCTGTCGCCCGAGGTCTCAACCCCCGAGTTACCTGAACCTAAAATATGTGCCCCAAACGTGGGGTGAGATCTCTAAACAGAAATCTCAGCAAGGCAAGGGGTCCTCAAGGATTTCTCCACCCCAAGTTCACTTACATGTGCAATATAAGTTCTAAACGCAATATACAATATCAGTTCCAAAATCAGTGCAATGCAACAGATAATCATGTCATGTGTGTCAAGATATTCTACTGGCCAGAGAAATGCAAGACTTAAATACGTCTATTTCCTACATCAGTGCAAGACACCACTTGCACTCACCCACAAAATCACTGTATTGTATGATGCCACATACTCAAGCTTACCGTCTAGATGGAACAACACATGCATATTATAAGACCTTTACACTTAACAGCTCTAAAGCATTTCAATCATCAAAACATGAAAACACATCATGCATAAAACCATTCCCCCATGGGGCATGGTGGAACCAACAATGGCTAAACCGAGGACACAAAAGCTTACCTCGCAAGCTAACTATCCAAGCCAAGCTCACACTAGCTCAATGCCCACAAACAGCACAATCACAATATTTTTATACAATAATTAATCATCAATAATTATTACATGAGATTCCATTAAGTGATTAAGGCTTTCCAACTCATTTTAAGTCATTTTATGCAAATTCTGCAGGAGGTATTCGAATACTCCATGATGAGTATTCAAATACTCCCTGCTCCAGAAAGTATCCGAATACTTTCACTTAAGTATTCGAATACCACAAAGTATTTGAATACTTTTCCCCCAGTATCCGAATACCACCAGGTATCCGAATACAAATACCACAGTATTCGAATACTACCCGGTATTCGAATACTTATTTAACGGTATCCGAATACTTTTCTTCCCAGAAAAGTATCCCAATACTCCTGCAAGGAGTATTCGACTACCAAGGGATAAGTATTCGAATACTTCCCGAAAAGTATTCGAATACTCATCAGACAGAATGCAGAAACTCGAACTGCCCTCTGCATAATCCTATTTTTAAGGGTCCAAACGTGATTTGGAGTCCAATGACTCCATAAACAGATGTTCATTAACACGTTATAGACTCAGAAACATAGTCCTTAGCTCAAATGATCCATGTTTTAATTTTTAAAGGATTAAACAAGTTTAAATCATCAAAATACCAAAGAGGTGATCATGGTATACCTCAAGGCTTCAAAATTCCAAAAATGAGACAGAAAAGAAGTCCTCTACACAACACCTAGTTTATGTCCTTCCAAGACTACGAAAATGCAACACAAGATGGGACCTTTCACCTCAAAGGTGGCTTCTTGAAGCCTAAAATGCCATGACAATGGGCTCACCCAACCCAACTCTCAAACTCAGCATAAAACCCCAACAAACAGCAGCTTAAACCATAGAAATGAAACACCTCACTCACCCACAATGTCAACCACTTAGTGTGTACAAGGTTAAAGGTGGATAATCTCTCATAAAAGTGGTGTCTTGAAGGATTTTGTGAAGAAGAGACAATGAAATAGTGAAGAAGAAGGGAGGCAGCAACTACACACACACAACACACGCAGGAAATGGCTGAGTATCAGCCTAGGGTTGTGTGCAAGTGGCTATTTATAGCCCACTTAAGTTTAATCACACAATAATAGCACTATTAGCTACGCTTAGCATTTTAATCCCAAACTTAGGATTCTGAACCTAGACATTTTTCTAAGATTTGTCATATTTTTATTTTATTTTTCGCAGTACTTTTCCGGTACGCGCTTTTACTTAGCCAATATTAGTTCTGGCACCAGTTCTCATTATTTTGACTTCAAACTTGTTTTGCTAATCCTATGTATTATTCTAGGAATATTTCCACACTTATTATAATTTT